TTCAAAAACAAACAAAACAAACAAGCTATTCCAACACTATTTTGTTTTAAAGAATTATTATGTTCTTGCAAGAAAAAGCGTGATTCGGCATATTTCGTATTTGGAGCCAGACTAACATTTCGAAAAAGAAACACACACACTTTAACAAATTATTTTAAAATGTACATCCCTGAAGCTGTGTATAAGAATTTGAAAATTTAAAAAGCGTGTGATTTTGCTTTCAAATGACGTTTTACATTTACAGTGCTTAGCAGTGTCATATGTTCAATAAGCCAAAATTACGAATCGTGGTAGATATTACTCGCCCCCCAGTGGCACAGCGGAATGTCTGCGGACTTACAACGCTAGAAACTGGGTTTCGATATCCGTGGTGGGTAGAGCACAGATAGCCCATTGTGTAGCTTTGTGCTTAACTTCAAACAACAACAACAGATATTACTCAATCTCATACAAATCGTTAGCATTAAATCTTACTTGAATTTTCACTCATTAGGTTTTAATTATCTAACACTATACAGATCCAAAAGTGTACATTTGTCTTATTTAACTACTAAAATTACTGCACACGAACAAAATAGAACTGCTTGAAAGACAGGTCACCAGAATGGTATTGAACCAAGATTTGTTTTAAATATTGTTACGTGCTTGTTGCATGTGTGTTACACACAGTTTCGCCATATTTCTACTTTACCATTAATACAGAGAATTGTGAATCACCTTTTCTGCTTTGTGTCCCATTGAAACAATACCTTTCTGGTTGCATCTGAGTTAAGAGGTTTTTGGCTACTACAGTTTTCATAATGTCCTTCCTACAGTACAGCTGGAAAAAGTCACAATTTAACAATGTCTTAGGTCTCGGTTACTGGGGCACACTCTGTTGCATTTTAAAAGTTTGTCCAATAATCATTGTCGACAAATTATCTATCAACTGTCACTACTAATAAGTTTTAATGACGTATGTATATGTATATTAACAACCAGACAAATAAATTGTATCATATAGATGCTCCAGATAGACAAATGCCCATTATCATTCCCCCTTTGAAGTCGAAGAGATCTTTGCTTTTACCCATATCCTTGTAAGTTAACTATGATATGATTACGTGTCTACATTTATTTATAGAGCTAAAGCAATCACCTGACATACCACACGTCTATTTTACTTAAGCAAATGAGTGGATTATTTCACCTATACATGTGGTGAGGTCTTAATAAAGTGGCCAGAAAGCGTTGCATAACCCTAGGCGGCATATTACGTAATAATTATGCAATCCTCAGGCAGCATCCTTTGATCTCTACTCACATGGCGACCCTCACTGAGGCGGCATCCTTTGGACACAGGACAAGCCCCTTAATAATGCTATCTGTGTTTTGCTCACCATGGGTATTAAACGCTATTTTTAGCGTTATAAGCCTTTAGACTTACCACTGAGCCATAGTGGGGATGAGGCAGAACAAGTCCTAATATTAATTGTTGAATAATCTTTTCAGGAAATGGAATTTCAGACATCACAACAGCTTCAGCTTAAGGAATTCGAAGGCAATGAAACATGGTCTATTTTCGAATGAAATGCTAACGGTGCTACTTCTAAGTAACGTAATTTCTCTGACAATTGGTGGAGGTATAGGGTAAGTTAAATCTTAACTAGTTATATCGGAGGTTTTTTTATAAAAAAATTATTTTATTTACATAAACTATATTTTGGCTAGTCTGTGATAAACAACCAGCAGGGAATGGTTATAATTCTATCAATTTAGACGAATTTTCTTGCCTATATCAATTTTGTGTAAATTACATACTGCCGCTGAAGTTCAGTATCTTTACAGTTGTTGCGTCAGCGAGTCACATGACTAGTGTGACGCCATGTTTCCAGAACTATCCCGTACCTTGGCGAATGCTCTAGTATTTACTAGATATAGGGTAGGCTGGTATAT